ATGCCGTAACCACAACAGATGAAATTGTCAAATCATCATCTTTACCATCAACTATGTCTGCACAAGAAGCTGAATTGCAAGCCCTGACTTCAGCATGCAAGATCTCTGAAGGAAAGCGCGCCAATATCTGCACGGATTCAAGATATGCACTGGGCGTGGCTCACGACTTCGGATTAATTTGGAAAACAAGAGGATTTCTTACCACCACCGGTACACCAATCAAGCACGGTTCCGCGATCAAGGAGCTGATGGACGCCCTCCTACTCCCAGAAGAAGTGGCTATTTTGATGATAAAAGCACATGGGAAGTTGGACTCAGATGAAGCAAAGGGCAACCATCTAGCTGATCAGGCTGCAAAACAAGCTGCAAAAGAACCACAGGAAGTGGAAAGAAGAGTGTCCGGAAATGAAGAAACTCCCATATTTACTCTGCAGACTCTTCCAACTGACCTGAAAATCCTGCTGGAACAACAGGCTACAGTTGCCCCTGAAGAAATACAGAAGTGGAAACAGAAAGGGGCAGTTCTGAAGGATGGAGTGTACTCCAACAACCTCAATTTCTGCCTCCCTAAGAATTTGTACCCAGCAGTCGTACAATGGGCACACAGACCTGCACATTTATCAAAAGATCTAATGAATGCTCTTGTACAAAAATACTATCTCATTGTCCCCATACGAGATTCTATTTGGGACTGCACCTAGGCTAGGTTGCTATTTTCCCCAACAACTGCAACTTCAAACTGATGTTTTAGTAGATTATGTAACTGAACTCGCAAATGCTTTGAACAAAATCCATGCCCAAGTTTTCTCTTCAATTCCAGATCCTGATTCTGACACAGGCAACCACAGTCTGCTCCCCGATGACTGGGTTCTGGTCAAGAAATTTGTGCGAAAACACACCCTGGAACCAAGATTTGACGGACCGTTCCAAGTTCTCCTGATCTCCCCTACCTCTGTCAAATTGGCCGGAAGGCCTAACTGGATCCACGCTTCCCATTGCAAGAAGACACCTGCCCCAGAGGAAGCTAACTCTATGCAACCATGTGCCTCTGGTACATTATCTCCTTAGTTGGCCTCCTTAAAGCCCAGCAGGTGGCCATCACCAAAGATGCTAGTGGGTACACTTTCTGGTATAATTCATCATGTACCCATGTGGCTACATTCACTTTTGATTACTGTGATATTGTAGAGTGCCCATTCCCTAAGTCACAGATTCAAGCCATTTATAAAGATATACCACAAGCAAAAGACCCTTACGTTTGTGTAGTAGATGAACAATGGGGTTATGACTGTAACTACTGGGGGGCTGCGGGATGGAATACTGGGCCTGCCTGGGGTTATAAACCCAAAAGTTCTTTATCTAAGATAGACAATCAGGGTAGATCCCTCCTTCAAAGAATGACTTTAAGAAAGCCTGGAGGAAGTACCCCTATGAAATTAATGTTAAATATTGAACATCCTGGCCCCGAGGATGCAGACCGATATGTAATGGGAATGTATTGGAAGAAAGGTTCCTACAACAAATTAGGTCATTTCTACCTCAGAGATATGTCCCACTCTCCAGAGTGGCAAGGGGCTGATCATATGGTCCCAAATCCGCTAAAACCACATATCCAGTCCTTTAAAGATATGATGGCCATCGCTAACCCCACTTTTGAAGATACCATGGCCGCTGAAACTGGATTCAATGACATTAATCTGTGGTTAGAATGGATGAGGTATAATGCTAACAAACATAATAAAACAGCATGTTATGTATGTGGCGGTGCCCGACCCCACCTTGGCACCGTCCCCCTAACTCTCCCTTTAGAGATAGAAGATTGCTTCTTAAGCCTTTTTGCCTACCAATATGACTTTAATAGGTCCCTCTGCATGGCATGGACGGCAGAATACCCTCTCTTAGTTGAAAATGTTAAGCCACCAGATGGAATCACAATCTATAGAGGTAATTACACTTGTTATGCCGTGTATGACGGGATTGGTAAATTCATGGGTAACTTTTCTAAAGGTTATTGCGCCACTTACAGAACTGTTCCTATACGCCTGTTGCAACACCATACCAGGTCATTGGGGGATATTTACTGGTTATGTGGGGATCTACAGTTAAGATCTAGGCTGGAAACTGAGTGGTGGGGTGAGTGTACCCTGGCCAAAGTTATCATGCCCATTCATATTATTTCTGATAATCATCATGACACATACGACCCTCCACATACATCAGCCAGAGTAAGGCGCGAAACCCCAGTAAAAGGCAGTTTTGACCCACACATTTACATAGATGCCATTGGGGTGCCTAGGGGGGTACCTAATGAATTTAAAGCTAGAGATGAAGTAGCTGCAGGTTTTGAATCACTTTTTACCATAGTCACTGCCAACAAAAACCTTAATTGGATTAATTATATCTATTACAACCAACAGCGCTTCGTGAACTACACCAGGGATGCCCTCCAGGGCTTGGCCGAGCAATTACAGGCCACATCCCAAATGACCTTCCAGAACAGACTGGCCTTAGACATGATCTTAGCCGAAAAAGGGGGGGTCTGTAAAATACTTCCCGACACTATGACTTGTTGCACTTACATTCCAGAAAACACAGGTCCTAATGGTAAAGTCACTCTGGCCATAGCTAAATTAAATAGACTCTCAGAAGAGTTAAAGAGAAACTCTGGAGTTACTGATCCCTGGGAAAAATGGTTTGGTTGGATGACTGGTTGGCAGAGAGCTTTAGTCCAGATTGGTATTGCCTTACTAATTTTTCTTTTTATTCTCGCTCTTCTCATTTGTTGTGTCCTCCCATGCCTAAGGAAATTCCTGCAGAAAACTGTAGACCAAGCAACACCAACCTTCACTCATCTGACAATCGATGATCAAGACCTCATCTCACCCTGTATTCCGCTACAAACTCTCCCTTATACTGATGAAGTGCAGAAAGTCTAGGAAGGGACAGTACAGGGACAGCGTCCGTCTTTATGGGTAGACTGCCGTACGGAGAAGTAGTGGATAAGCCACTATGGGTTACCAGCGGAGTGAAGAGTGTTCCTGAACCGTACTGACGGATGTGCTGCAGCCTGTTAGGGTCAAGAGAGGGATAGACTTGCACTTTGCATTAACACTAAGTCAGCGGTCATGGGGTTTCTGTGTCTTTGGGCTAATACTTCTTCTGATACTAACAAATAAAGTTTTGTCTTTTAGCAAATAACATTTTAGGGGGGACTGTTGTAGAATTATTAGGCCTCTATAAATCTGTAAGGCCCCTTTAAATCCTCTTGCTATACCTCTAGGAGGCCCCCCATAGTTTTACAAGGAAGCTTTGTCTATAGAACATAGAATTTGCATGTCAGCAAGAAATAGCTTTGATAAAATGTGTATTTACTAAAAGCCTTGAAACCTAACCTTGAGAAACTAACCATGCCAGCTACACTCTAAATGGATGGCTGCCAAAGCACCCCTCCCATCGAGTGAACACCTCGTGCTAACAAGATGGCGCCTACATCTTGTGTCCACTCCCGTGTCAAGGATGACATCACCTCTTGATAGGAGGGTACCTAACTAACCACTTAACACCTGGACCAATCAATAGTGTCTATTTGTCTATATCTTGATTTTCTTCAATGATGTAATAATGCCTTTATAAGGGTCTGCGCACCCATTTTCTGTCAGAAGCCATTAAACTTCTCTGAAGTTCTTTCATTACCCTGAACCTTGTGTCTCAGTGTGAATTTACTTCTGCGTGCACGCAACTTTATTATCTTTAATTTGGACAGGAACAGATAGTCATTCAAACTAATTGGTTTGCAGTAAATTATCTAGAACACACCTTCTGCCCTTCCAGCACCTTACTGACCCTTTCTGCTCATTTATGGTCTTTTCTGCTAATTTCTATTCCTTCTCCTTTCTGCTCCTTCTTGTACTTTACCTGCCTGCTCCTTGCTGACCCTTCCTGTAGGCTGGCCCCCATCCCTCACTACACCTCATCTGTAGGCTGACTCTGCAGTCTGGGAGTTGCTGGCTGCACTTGTGCTGCTCCCCCATGGATTCAGTCAGGAGAGAGAAGCAGGGTTAATCATATCACTGCCTCTCTCCACACACAGCACCACCTACTGGCTGGCACCGGTTTTGCAGTGTATTCTCAATCTCAAAAGAAAGATACAGGTATAAATTGAGAAATCCAGAGAAATGGGGGGCAAGTGGCCTCCCATTGCCCCCTCTTGCGGACACCCATGCCCATGGTTGGTGGAGCATGCGGCAAATGTCCCCCTGATCGTCATGATCTTGGAGGACAAGAATTTCAGCACTGCTTTCACTGAATCTACAGTAAAGCCAGATATTGAACTGACTGAGATGGTGTCATAACCGACTTCTCTTCGTTGATGGTGATTCTGAGATCCTGCTGTAGCTGTCGAAGAGTGGCCATGTCCTAAAGATGTAATCCAGGCAGATGATGGACTGAACACCCCAAGCCTTTAGAGATGCTTTAGGAGCTCAGTAAAACACCAAGTGGTCGAACTTAGACTTAAAGGTAGACGTGAAATGTCACAACTGGTCGTTCCACAGGAATTGCAGGAATCTTCTGTCGTTGGGATGGTTAGTTAAGCATCCTTCAGGTTAGAGAACCAATCGCCCTTGCAGAGTTAGTCCCTCCATCTTGAAGTGCCTGTAGATGACGTAAAAGTTAAAGAGTGCAGAGGTTTATCACCAGTAGAAAATCGCCTTTGTTTTTCCTCACCAAGAAATATTGTTCAGGAAGCAGGGACTATTGCTCCTCTGACTTCTCTATCGCACCTTTCAACCTGGGATTGTTCAGTTCTGCGTGGATATGGGCCATCAATTCCTGAACTATCCAAAAAGGCCCTGGAGTAACAAATTGAACCATCGGGGCTACAAGTTCAGAAACCCGATACTGTTTGAAAAACACAGGGGAAAGTTCCACCCACTGTGGGAAAAAAAGTGAGCTAATCTACCATAATTGGGAAATGTAGGAAAGGGTGTATGATTCCTAACCTGAGGAAGTTCTCGCCCTGAGAGAAGTGCCTTGTCCATGAGAAGATCCGTGGGGAAATAGTGGGCAGTGTTGGAGTCGGTAGACTGAGGCCCATAGAAAGTCGGGGCCTCATGCCAGAGAAGCACATTGTTCTGGTGGCGCATCCGCACTTCTGACCAGCCCTGGTCCCTGGAACAAAAGGAAACCTGTACCATTCTCAGTTTTGTTTGGATCGAAACATGGTGAGTCAGCTTCTTCATGAACTTGTCCCAGAGCAGGAAACCACTATTCCTGGGGTCCATTTCATTGCAGGCCAGGTCCACGAGTTTTGCATCCAGTTTGCAGAGGGTCGATTTGCGAAGATTGGCAGAAAAAGCTGAATTGGCACTACCATAAAGCTTGTTGAGCCAGCTCATGGAGCAGGCAAAACCATAATTTCCACAGGGAAACCATAATTTAAGGTTTTGTCCACCATCAGGCAAATCTGGGTCAGAGGACCATTTATATCCAGCAGTTTATCATGAGCAGAGCAGAGGCCTTGTTCCAAACCCTTGCAGGGATCCTTGACAGACCTGGTCATAAACATGACAAAGACCATGAATACCACGACAGCCTAATTTTGTCTACTTCATTCCATAGGGATGCCTTCCTGCTGCTCAGAGGCTATATATTGCTCTAACATACTACTTTCTAGTACACCACTGTCATGCTAGGCCACACTAATCCTGCCTATGCGGTCCTCACACATCCAAAACTCCCAGAGTAACCACAATCCTCATCCTGTACATTTTATCCTTACCTCTTTATTATACCGCTTTGGTCTAGCACAGGGTATCCTTTCGCTATCACAAGATAATCCATAGGCCTCTCCAGCAGTTTAGTTTTCCTGGGCATACAACTAGACTCAATATTGTCACAGTACTGCCTCTCCACAGACAGAGTCCGGCGTATCAGGGAGACATGGAGTGTTTCCTTAGCAAAGGTGCCTGTTTCCATTAGTCTCTCTAGTGTCTCCTTGGTTCTCTGAACCTTGCCATGCGAGTCATACAATAAGGCTGCCACTACATTTCCACGACTACTCAACCTGCTCCCAGGTTACCTACCGACAATAACACTGTCACACCTGTTCAAGCAGACCTGTTTAGGTAGATAAACTTTCTATCCCACAGCAATGGGAAAGCAAAGTTCCTTTCCCCCACTGTCTGTCAATTCCCCCATTTTATAGACTGACGCTGCTGCCCTCACTGGATATGCAGCCATTTATCGAGGACAATGTGACATATAGCCTGCTGATACACGAAACCTACCCCTTTTTTTTGTAAATTTCAGCTCTCTTTGTTGTATGTCCCACTGTGACCACTGCTCACCTGGAGGTCTCTACATAGGGGGACTATACCAGGCTATTTCAACATGGCAGCTGATGCCTTGATTTAATCCAAATTTCAGATAATATTCAAAGCACACCACACAGCTGCCAAATGTCTGTCTGAAATCCCAGAAATTTAGCAAATTAAATCCAAATGGTAAAATTTAGGCTAAAATAACTAATTTGAATAAATTCTCCAAATCAGGGATAGTCACCATTTGACTATTTATGTCTGAATTTTGCAATACAAATTTCATTGCAAAGATTTGGAGTTTAGTAAACTACCCTGACAGTGTCTCTACTTTATTTAGTCCACAATACCTACAATTCCAAATGTGTCCTACCCCTGACCTAATGTTTCCATTTAAACTGCACAGGAGCACCATTTATGTCATCTGAGTAAAAAATACTTTAAGTCTTGTATGTTGCTATTTCATATTTCTTCATAACTGTATTAAGAGGAAACACATTCAAGCCATTATTATAGTAATACAAAAACAATGATGAGTATGTGGGAGACTTGTTTTAATGTGAGATGACGGGATTGCAAGTGTAGATTTCAAAAGTACTTTGTGTTAAAAAAAAAGCACAATACTGTCTTGAGAATGTAATTGTAGCCTATTTTACAAATGGCTTAGTATGAGATACATATCATGATTTAACATGTGTCACCAAGAAAATTACTATCCTTCTGAGCTTTATTTGTTCAAAATTACTGGAAAAGTGTATGTCGTCCAATATCAATATGTCGTCCAGGTCCACTATTGCAAACGTTTGTATGTTCTCTCTTAAAACATCATTGATACAATCCTGAAACACTGCTGGGACATTACAGAGACCAAAGGGCAGCACAGTGTACTCATAGTGATTACTCCTAGTGTTAAAGGCAGTCTTCCACTCATGACCCTCTTTAATACATACTAGATTGTAGGCACCCCGTAGATCCAGTATGTAATCCATTATCAATGGCATGGGATAGGCATATTTGATTGTGATCTTATCAAGACCCCTGTAGTCAATACATGGTCTTAATTCACCTTCCTTTTTAGCTACAACAAAGAAGCCTGCCCTGGGCGGAGAAGAGGATCTCCTGATAAACCCTTTCTGTAATGATTCCTTGATGCACTCCTCCATGACAAGGTTCTCTTGGGGAGACAAAGGATTCACTCTCCCCTTGGGAGGTATAGAACCAGGTAGTAGATCGATCGTACAATCATACGGTCTATGAGATGGTAACTTCTCAGCTTCTCTTTTGTCAAATATCGCTCTTACATGTACTGAGGAAGTATAACAATAGACAAAGGAAGAGCTGTTGCTATGTTAATAGAATTCAAGGGAGTGACTTTGGTGATACAAGACTCATGACATATGGTCCTCCATGATTCTACTTGGCCTGACTCGCAATTAAGAGTGGGGTTGTGTAAAAGCAACCAAGGATACCCTAATACGATGTGGGAAGAAGGAGAAGAAATTACCTGGAAGTGAATAATTTTTTTATGCAACAACCCTGTAGATATTTGTAGGGGTTCCGTTTCGTGAGTAATCACCGGGGAACATAATGGTCTACCATCTATGGCCTCAACGGCCAAGGATGTTTCTTTCACCCTTAAGGGTATCTTGTATGAGTTTACAAAGTAGGAATCAATGAAGTTCTCAGCCGCACCGGAGTCAACCATGGCTTGAACGTTCCCTATATCTATTAAACTATTGAAAGGCAGGGAAACAGGAAGAAGCAATCTATTTAGACGTGGATGTGGGGACTCTGATGTCACACCAAAGCCAGGTCCCCTATCCAGCCTTAGGTGCAGGAGTTTTCCGGGCGAATGGGACACTCTCTTTGCATGTGGC